ACCTCCAAAAGCCGCTGCACTAAAAATGAATCCGTCCCCGAAACCGAATCGTCCGAAGCTCGAAAACCAGGAAACCTTTTTTCCGCGTGCGGACTGTGCTCTGCGGACGCTGCACCTCCCACCATGGAACCTTCAAAGGCCGGTGGCTGAGGTGGAAAGATGTCTGGAAAAACGATAGCCGACTTGGCCATCTCATCAGCCTGGGGTACTACACCCCTGGCTGGCTCTGCCCTTTCTTTCAACGGCACCGGACCAAAGTGGGCATCGGCCACCTCAGTGCCTTCATAGTCATCCATCCTCAACCGACTGACGCCTTCAGGCTCCCGGTCCCAGGCCTCTCACTTGGCTGCCTCCTCGGTCTTCTTGAAGTCCTTGCCCTTGCGGCCGGAGCCCTTGCTCTTCCCCTTGTCGCGGTCGCTCCTCCAATCTTGGTATCCCGGCTCCTTGCTCTTGCCACCCCCTTTCGACTTGCCGCGCCCATCCGGCTGCGATGCCAAAAACTTGGAGCGAGCATCGATTGCAGCTGCCTTTTGCGCCGTAATGATCTCCTCTCTGGGAGCTATCAACTGGGCGTCGAGGGGCGGTATCTCGAGGCGTTGAGATACGGACCAGTGGGAGCCGGCGATGGTCGCCTCCACCGATTTGATTCTCTGGAGCATCACGTCGACCGCTTGTGCGACTCGGCCTCGAAGAAGAAGATCGACAGCGCTCGAGAGCGTTATAAGCTCTCGTCCAACTGGGCCGCTGGTTTTCCGCTGCAGTTCCTGCCTGAAGTACTTCATGGCGGTGGGACTGAGGATGTTCGTGTGATCCTCCAGGCCGGAGCTCTCCAGCAATGCTTTGCGCATCGATGTCAACGACCGAGCGCCCAGTGCTCCTGGGCAGTTCTCCGCAACCCTCTGCACTTTGGTCTCGCTGTCGAAGAACCCCTCGTCCTGGTCGAAGTCCTCGTCTTTGCTGGCCGACGAGCTCCTGCTGCAGGAGCTCCCGCTCCCGTCTGCCTTCTTCCGACGAACCAAGCGCTTGGCCCTGCGAGCAACTCTGCGGCGCACTTTGTCTTTGAAGTCCAACCCAGTTCCCGCGAAGAGAACCTGAGGGGACTTGACAGAGGCCCCACGTGGCCTCCGGCCATCCAGGCGAATGCCCGAGCTGGAACTGCTGCTGCTGACTTTCTCCACTGCATCCTTCTTGGGCTGAACCTCCTTCACTGACTTCTTTCGACTCCTTGAACGATCGCGAGACCGCTGCTCTTTCCTCTTCTTCTTGGAGCTTCGTCCCCTCTTCTTCTCCTTCTTCTTCTCCTTGGACCGCGGACGACTCTCCGTCGAAGGTTTGCGATCTCCTCCACGTGCTCTGTCGTGCTCCTTCTTCTTCTCCCTCAACCCGGCCAACTCGTCTTCGCCGGGGTGATCGGTACCCACCAGGTTGCGAGTCCAAGGCTCCTCCGCCTCTGCGCCTTTTCCCAGCCTCATCTTGCGACCGTGGACCAGGTTCTCGGGCACTCGCTCCCCGGCACAACCTTCGGGGCAAAGATGGAGGCGAAGAGGTTCTTTGGGTTGTCCACTGCAATGGCGGAGCAAGGCCTCCGAGTCGGTCCCCAAAGCTCGCAGCAGAACATGGGTGGCATCTCTCTCCACCTCCAACCGTGTGATCACGCCGGCCAGTCGACCCGGCGCGCCAAAGTAACTCATGTCCTCTGCGATCACCTCGACGTCCTTGGCCAACTCGTCCACCGGGATGTCGCCTGCTTTCATCAACTGCCCCGATCTCCATAGCTCCCGTGGCACAGGAGCTCCTCTGACGAATGGGGCTGCGGCTGGCCGTCTCGCCACTCCTCGTGGACCAATTCTCATGGCCCCCAACCTCCTCATAGCGCCGGCCTTCGCTTTTGCCAGCGCCTTGGCTTTCGCCTTTGCCTTCACCTTGGCTTTTGGCGCCATGGCGTCTACCTCCTCTGGTAGGGCCAATATCGGCCCCGCTCACGATGCTTGACCCCCTTGGTGCCCCGCTTCCTCTGCGGTGCTCGCTCAAGGGATCTTGACCTCTCACGCCAATACCTCTGCTGTCCACGTCCGTCCCGTCGTTGCCCACGATCAGGTGGTGGATGATCCGGGCTCCTTGGGCGCTTGGGCGCCGGCGGTGGTGGTGGAAGGTCGTAATGGCTGAAGTGCTTTGCAACGCTCCCCTTGGGGGCTGGCTTCAATTCACAACGTGCAGGCTGCTCTGCAACCAACTGCCCAATAGACCAGGTTAGACAAAAAATTGTCTAATAGACAACTTTCTTAAAATTTGTCTATTAGATAAATTTTTGTGATTTGTCTTAGACAACTTTATGTGACGAAAAGTTATCTAATAGACAAAACAAAAGTTGTCTAATAGACAAAAATCTGCTGTCTTAGACAAATTTTCGCGGCTGCAAACGAGGAAATTTCAAGGAAATTTCCTCGAAACTGCCTCGTCTGTTTTTCAAAACTTCCTCCAAACTTCCTTTCTTTTTGTGGCAGTTTGGAGGTAGTTTGATGGAAGTTTGTAGGCAGTTTCAACCTGCAAGTGTGGAAGTTTGTCATGCACATGGACTGAAACTGCAATAATATGCAAATTTTGTAACATAAACTTCCTCATGCCTATAATGAAACTGCAAGTAAACTTCCTCAGTGCCTGTGGTAGTTTTGAGGAAGTTTTGATTTGTCTGAGACAAAAAAACTTGTCTCAGACACAGCCAAAAATAGTCTAAGACTGTTTCTTCAAAATAGACTTAGACAAATGTTGAAAAGTTGTCTTAGCCAAAAATCATGTTGTCTTAGGCAACAAAAAAGTTATCTAATAGACAATTTTTTTACAAAATAGATCTTAGACAAAAAATAGTCTAACCTGGTCTATTGGGTGGTCCTTCTCCTCTGTAGTGGCCTCGGGGTCTCGAAGCTTCGAAGCAGTGCTCCCAGCACCGGGCTCCTCAACCGCAGCTGCCTCTCTCTCCTTCTTCTTCCTTTTCTCCTTCTTCGTCGAAGGTCCACTCTTGTGCTTCCTCTTTCTCTTCTTCTTCATCTTGGGCTCTTCAACCTCGTCTCCTTCAATGCTCTTGGACTCTGCCTTCACGAGCTCGACGGGGTCCTTCTCCTCTGTATGTTCCTCTTTGGCACGCACTCCAAAGTCGCCAGGAGGCCGCTCAGGCTCCCGTTTCTCCTCTTGCTCAACCTTGTCTCCTCCTCCAACGTCAGGAGCCGCCGATGGCTTCCCGCTTGCTGAAGCTGACGATGTAGCTTGAGCTGCTGTAGCTGGTGTAGTTTCGAACCCGGGCGGATTCGATTCCAGGCGTTCCTTCTTGAGGATAGGAATGGCCAGTTCACTCAAATCTTCAATAGCCCCACACGCGGACCTGAGCACTTGGATGATCGACTCCTCCTGCGACCGAAGGAATGCCCCCGTCCGGAAGAGGTTCTGTATGCGGCAGAGTGTGCGACAAGAGCTGCAAAATGAGGGCTTCCCAAGCCAAAATCCGCAACCAGTGCACACCATGCACCAACCGATGGACTTAAGCCGAAACACTACGGGACAAAGACATCAGTGTGCATCTTATAAACCGGGGGCGTTTGTACATATATATATATTATATTAATGCTAGTGTAGTTTAAATATAAATATTATATGATACATTATGATACCTGAGGTGTACTTGGCATACTGGTGTGTTTTGGGGCAAACATTGATTTTGTAGAAGCAAAGCCGGTCAACAAAACATAATACGACATAAGGATGTGTGATGGTGCAGCACAACCATACTGGCTACAGTGCTGATCTTGTGATTTTGTAGATAAACATCATCAACGTAAGTGAACATGGGCTCTCGCTGCATTATCAACACCCACCTCATGAGGTAAAACAAGCATTAGGCACTGTTCTCTCCTTTTCTTATTGGGGGGGCACAGGTCAAGCGCCTAGCCTATGTTTGATTTTCTAATGTGAACGTATATGAAAGTTGAAAGTAAATTCTCTACAAACAGCCTCCTGTCAAGACACCCGTAGGGGGAACTCCAACTCCAATGGGGGATGAATAATCAATAAATTATTGCTTGACACCTTTATCAAGAGTGATTCCAGGAGGCAAAAGCGGTTGGAGGGGCAACCACATTGTTAGGGCCAAACAATTCTTTCCCGCGGCGCTAAAGCGCCCGTGGGCCCGCGTGCGGCAAGTTTACGGGTAGTTTTCTGACAGCCACAAAGCAAATCAAGCATAATCAAGCTTTGTTTCTCCTCACCCTCATATATTATGTCCTTTTCCTTTGGACTTCTGGGATGCCCTTGTGCTGTAGCAACGCATATACAAAACACAGGCAAATCCCAACCTGAACCCGTTTTCTCCAACCAAGCTTCAGGATGCTGCGCACAGAAACCTCCTTTCCCACGTGTTGCTGGCACATGAGCGTGGAGTAGGAATTGCGACGAAGCTTGGGCGAAGGGGCCAGACTGGCGGTCATCGAGCTGAGCGGAGCCGATGCGGCGATGTTGCCAAGGTCCTTCAGCGCCCCTTCACCCATTTCGGCCATGGCGGAGTACGAATGGCGACGTAGCATCATCGGTGTCATCATCGGCGTCATCATGGGTGACGCTGAGCTGGATGGTGCAGTAATTCCACGGATTGGCAGCTCCTTCAGCTCATCTTCACTGGCCTCTGATTCCTTGCTCTCCTTTCTCTCTCTTCTATCCTTTTGAAACCGCGAGATTTCCTCGGGTGGTGTGGGCTGTCAAAATCTTCACTAATTACAGCATGAACGCATCAGTCGGAAACGAACTATGATTTCTGGTCCAGGGACAGGGGATCTGGCTTGAAACTGCTGTCCACAGGCTTTCAACATGCCCCCTAGCAGCATCTCGCGAAAGCGTGCCTAAATCAACCATTTCCCCTTGGAAGCCTTGGGATGTTTCAGACCATGATGCGTTGCTGTTATATTTTTTGGGGGGGAAGACTTTGCATGTTGGCTTTAAGTACTTTTGGTCTACTGCTAATTAGGTGATGCTGGGTGGGGGGGTTCATTTAAAATCAACTGTACTCTCAATTGCTCAAGTTCCAAGAGGTGTTGGTGCACCAACTGCTCCACAATTCTCTTGAAGTCTTTAGAGACCATGCCGCTTCCTCTTTTTTCAGGTAGGGTGGATTGGCTGCGCTCCGGCATCGCCGGACTAGCAGCTACTGAGACATCTCGGCTCGGCAAGTCATCCTCATCAAAAAAGACCGACTCCTCCGCGCCACCCAGGTTCCTTGAGTTCGATGGACGCAACATCTCAGCGAATGGACCAAACTTGACAAACTTTACCATCATTGTAAAGCTATACGATATCATCAAATAATATATATATATATTATACTATAGCCTATGTTACAGTATACTATGCAGTATGTATATATATATACTGACCCGTCGGTACATCAAATCACCACCTCACCCTGGGCGAGGGCCGGGGCGCAGGTCGCTTGGCTGGCGGGGTCCCATTTTGGACAGGTCCAAGTTCACACCGGGAAACATCGCGAAGGAGTTGGCAAAACAGGTGATGCCCCCGTTTTGAAGCCGGTCAAATGCGTTTTTTTTTTAATATGTTTTCCTTGTCTTTTGTTGGTTCATTTGTCTGCGGTCTCTCGCTCTGAGGTTCCTTTGATTTTCAGGGACTAAACCTCAAGCTGTGATGGTCTGGCTATTGATGGCTAACTGTCTCTCTTCGCTGAAGCTGCACTGATCAGTCAGGTCAATTTCGGCTTTGAGGACTGGTTTGGCTGTGCATGATTTATCCTCGAGTGATGCTCTGGATCCTGTATATCTGAGCCAGGGCCAATGGCGGATGTGTACTCCAGCTGTAACTTAAACCTTCGTCGTTTCTGAATCACCATGGTCGTTTGAGGGGCTCGTCTTTCAGCATTCTCACTTCCCACTCCTTGGGCTTGATACTTGGCAACATCCACGCCCACTGCGGTGTGGCAAAGTACATGGTTTTGGGTTTGCCTCTGGCCTTCTGAAATCAACTTTGGCCAATGAAGCGACCGAGAGAAGACCCATGCAGTCTCCACCCGTTAAACACCACAAGCCAGCAGTCTCCATGCGCCTTGAAGTCCAACGAATGAGTCTCATCCACATCTACCTGAAGAGTCCCCGACGCCCTGTCGAGAGGTCCGTGATGGTCCATGGCATGGGACATGCAGGGGCCACAGAATCCCAGGTAGATTCGTTTGGGCAGAATGCAGCATCCCTTTCGTGAGTATTAATTTCTCCTCTTTTTGATCTTTTTGATGGGTTGGGCTGTCATGCCCACTTCAAGTTCATAATTACCATGGGGTGTTCTGTCATGACCAGGTCGTCTGCACGCACGTTCATCGCTCGGTGGGTGGTATGGTCGTCTGCACGCAGGTGAACCTCTTTTCGTTTGCCCCGAAACTCGGTCACCGCAGCGCCATGCTTTGACTCGGTCAGCCAAGGGGATCGTTGGGGGAACCGAAATCTCCAACACAGCGACCCAGTGACAAAAGTGGACGGTTTTGGACTGTTTTTGTGGATGGCACCACATGGTAGCTCATGTTTGAGCCATAGGCATCTATGGATACAGCAAGGTCCAGAAAATGATTGAATACCTCTCCTCTGCTCAACCTCAGACCTTTAGGCGATCTGGAACTGAGACTCTTGCGCCCATCGAGAGCCCCCACCTTGGCGACCAACTGTTGAATCTTCCGCAGGCTAGTGCTTCGGCCGCTGGCGCGCAAAATGTCCATGATCCTGGGAGAGTAAAGCCGCACCGTTTGGCCGTGACAGACCTACTAGCGATGATCCTGAGAGAGTAAAGCAGTTAGGGATCTGCGAATCCCTTGATGGACACCATGCGGCTCGGTCAATTGTTTTCATGTTCACAAAGGTGAAACTAGAAACCCAAAGCCCAAAGCATAAGCACCAGCCTCAAAACCCCTGCTCTTTATCATGCAAAACTCCCCTGACCCAGTCAAGGATTCATGTGCCCTGCCCAGGCGCTGCATGGTGGAAATTTCGCCATCCATGTTGGCATGCCTGCAAGTTGGCAGGGGCAGGTTGGAACAGGACTCCACAGTCTGACACTGGCAATTGTTGATCAATTTCTACCCCAGCAATGCCCATTGCTGGGCAAAAGTGCATTGCCTGAGCCTTGTGTGGCCGCACAAAACTTTCCAGTTTCACCTCTATCAATCTTGCCTACGTCTCCTTAATTCAGTTGAACTACACCTATTGATATCGATTGTATATTTGTTAAACTATAATACATCCTCTGGTGCCAAGTGGGGGCCGTGATCAGGGTGTTGACTAACCATCCTTGCGAAGCTTTATCCTGGACTTGTTTTGAATACTACAGTATTTCCGTGGCCCCTTGTCAGGTGCGGCGATGCATACGGGGATGTCCAGGCGTTCGCATGTCCCAAGAAAGGCAGGGAATTGCTGTCTGCACCACTGCAAAAGCCCCGTCATCCAAACCTGCAGGTGCCTCCCAGCCTCTCAAGCGGGTACTGTTACAGTCTGTTACTGACAGGGCCCCAGAATGGCGCCGGCCCAGCTTGGCCGTTTTTCCCGTCGTCGCAGGGCGAAAGCAAAGAGAGCCTTTTGAAGACGGCGGAGAGCTCGGCAGCTTCTGCTCCGGTGAAGCCATCCCACCTCTTGAAGTAGTCCATCATTTCCAGGTACCTTGGAAATGATATCTGACGCCTGTGAAGGAACCGGATCGGAGCGCCCTATGTCAGTAAAAACAATGAGGGTGTGTGCGTGTGTGTTTCTTTTGCGGCCGGGGCCTGATCACAACTGAACTATGTTCAAGACATTTCAAGATGACATGCGTGTCCAAATTGCTTCTTGCAGTTGCGGACCGAGAAATGGAAGAGGGTGCGGAAGCAATTCTATCAGCTTCTGGATTACATAAACGCAAATTGGCTTTGGGCCATGCATGCACTAGGGCGGAGGTCCTTCTGCATGTTTGCCCTGCATCTCGCCACATCGTCCACAGAAGATCATGTTTTGCGCGCAGTGAAATGAGCAAGGCTCCACTTGAAGCAAACTTCACCCGAGAAAAAAGACAGCAACGCTCCTGAATCCACAGGAGCATGTATGGACCCAGGAGACGCTCACCGACATTGAACGGAACGAATGGTGGCCCTACTGCCAGCAGTGCCCACTCCCGTGGTGATCATGAAATAAGCCAACCCCAACCTCCTGAGCCATCCATCCAATGCTTCAACGAGTCGAATTTCACATGAATTTTCGGGGAATTGACTTTTAGTGTTCCTTGCTCCATCGACTTGAAAACGCTATATGGTCCGATACGCCTACCTGCAGCAATCAATGCACTTCCTGAAGTGACAGGAAGCTTCCAGGGCTGATCCGCCACAACACGTTACTGCAAGTCAAACACATTTGTGGCTCAGCAAAAAAAAGGTGGAGGCCATCGCTTCATATCGCTTCTATAGGTGGGAGGCCATTCCTATTAGGTTGGAGGCCATCGCTAGTAGGTTGGAGATGTTCTGAGCATCCGAATCGGATGAGCCGCCTCTCACCGAGCCGCTCTTCCAGATTGACTGTGCCATCCCCATCAGCATCAACCGCTTGGAAGAGATCTTGGATGTTGGACCGCAAGGGCCTCAAATCAAAAGGGAAGCGAGGTCAGTGGGGTTCACTGATGGGCTGTCACCGGAGCGAGACACGTGGCTTTTTTGATCCTCACGCTCTCTGAGGCCCTAAGGAAGATGTCTAAAGTTGCCACACGCCAAGCCGCTGAACCATTGACCATCTGGATGAACTCTAAATGATCCAAAACGTGCTCAGAAGATGCTCCATCAACTGGTCTCCATCCCCCGATGTGGTCTAAAATTCATGGGCTATTCCGTCCTTCTTCCCTGTCTGGAATTTCCCGAATGCCAATGTGGCTATGACTCCGAAATACCGGAACGCCATTCTATAGTTTTCTTCCGAACCATGGCACACTTGTTCCTAGTAGCGATGCCAGGAGCCCCTACATGTAGCCCATCTTCTTCAACACTTGCTTCACCTCTGACCGGTCCAGCACGCCGTCTTGGCTCTGATCAAAGCGCTGGAACCTCGCCACAGCGGCCACGGTCGGCCCAGCGTCCCGTGGCGGCCGTGACCGGCCGCCGGTGGATCAGTCTACACGGCTGGATGCCAGTGGCCTCGTTGGGGAGACATGAATGGAAGAATGGTCATACGATAATAAACAATGACAATATGAAAGTCACGTAATAATCGTAATAGCTTCTTTGTTCTTCCTCCGTTGTCTTGCACTCCTGGTTAGCTGTCTCCATTTCGCAGGGGGAGACACTGGCGCACATATTCGTTGATTTCGCCTTCCTGGCACGGTCTGCAGTGTCTGACCAAGGGTGCAGCGAACTGTGAGGATTTGGGATGAACTCTGACAGATCCGTCTCTGGGTCAGGAAATGCCTGTGAAAGGGACCCCCGAAACTCCAAAAGTATATATTGGATTGAGAATAGATGGCACAGTCCCCAATGTCGGCGGTTTCTATGGACCCTTATATATCATAAAAGTCATCTTGGGGTGCCAGTGCCATCTACTCTGAAACCACTGTACTTGTACTATCCTCAGTGATGTTGACGATCTACTCCTCAGTTCAATGATGACACCTCTGAGTCCCATCTGCATTCTTCCCAAAGCAGTCCTTCATTCGCCTGGACCAGGTCACAAACCTTGGAGGTGTACGGTGTGCGATCCATTTCTGGAGGTGAGTGGAAAACTGTGGAAGTTTACAGCTACTTGTAGGCACTCAGCTAGGCTTTAGGGGAATCAACGAAATCCACCGTACCAATCCGACCTGCAGCCAACTAGCCTGCTGTCACTAGGGTTGACAACACCTGGTTGCAGTGAATGCGGTTGACAACAGCTTCAATTGCTCTTCCGAATTGACGTTCTTGACGTTCTCGTTCGTTCGCTCCGGTGGTTGCGGATGGTTGCGGTGTTTCTGCTCCGGTGTTGCTCTGCTGGTTCCACCAGTTCACATGGTTCATTGGGTCGTCCAAAGAAAGTGGAGGTTGCATGGGATGTCCCTGCATGAGCTTGAGTTGAACGTCATAACTGTTTCATCCACCTTTCAAGGGTATTGTACTGCGTCTGCTGTGCTGACAGTTCGTTCTGCATGAGCACAACCAAATATCAAGTCAACTAAGCACAGTCGACATCTGCCACCCAAACTACCTACGAGATCCCACTACTGTGCCTATAAAACTCTAGCTGATTCATGCTGCCTCAAAAATCCTTGGGCCCTGCATGACAGGGGTCCGGCCCTCGATCCCGACCCTCAAAACAAAACCCTGTGTTTGAGGGCCCGGATTGTGCTGGTGATTCATGAATACCGTGCCAAAACCAAGACCTGGGCTGCCTGGCTGTCGAAAGGTCAAACTTCCACTTCCACTCTTCTCAGTACCGTTGAGCGACCTCGGCCCGCAGCCAATGAAACACATATCATTGGCTGCGCAAAAATCGATCAAGCGCATGACCGTATGACTGTCAATGGGATTCAAACACACATACAGGAATCACTCAGACTGCAAAATGGTGCTGTCTTTGAGATAGTTGTTTGGTTCGTTGTGCTATTGATTAGTGGATGGTGCAATCTGCTCCATCAGGTCGCGTCGCTTCAATGGAACGTCATTGTATCAATTACAACTGACCTCTCAGCCAGCTCTGGCTAGCAGCTGAGCCACATACTGAAGCAAACAAACCTCCTCTTCAATGAACACATGCAACATTATTTGGGCTTCATCAATGTAGTTTTCTTAGCACAGAAGGTGTTCTTTGGTGTTTAGCTGGAACAACTTCCTTCATCTTACTTCATGTTCGGTGTGGGTGCAAATATTGGTCCTATGATGATGTCCTTTGCAACCCTGCCCAACACACTTCAATATGAACTCAATTAGTTTCTTTTTCTAACTCATGCCGTGGTCGACTCACGTATGCAAACCCACGCTAGGGATTGCTAGACACCAATCCAAAAACCAATTCAATGACTTGCACATGCAAATCCAGGTCCTGTGCAGCCTGATTACTTCGCTAGTTGTCTCTGGTCTCCGATGAATTCACATAATTGCCAAGCGCTAGGAGATCCTGTGCCACTCCCTGGCATCCTGATACTGCTTGCAGCGACACCTTTGTTGTCCTCGGAATCCTGAAGCTCCCTCTTTGAGTGAAGGCTCTGCAAGAAAAAAATCGAGGTCCGAACGTTCTTCGCGAGGAAGCCATCATCCAAAGAGATTTGGCCCGACGCCTCAAAAAGACGACGGTCCATCCAAATATGAAGCCCTGAACCGAAGAATGCCAAAAAGTAGTGATGATCACAAAAATTAGTGCTTAAGATAGACCCGCAAAGTCTATATCTCTAGGTTGTCAAGGTTCGCCGTAAGGATCCGCCAGGTATGTTTCAGGACGGATCAACATGCAAAAACTTTGCCATTTCATCGGACATCGCCATGGGTTCACGGCGTGTCCGGAGTCTGAGTGTGCCAGGGTTCTTCTCTGAACTACCTAGAAGCCTCCAACCTACCTATATATAACAGCAATGGCCTCCAACCGAATAGGCATGGCCTCCAGCCTAGGAGCGATGGCCTCCAACCTAATAGCAATGGCCTCCACATGAGGAAAAAAAAAACAACACACAGCAAGCCCATGCTTCTCCAGAGCCGTCCGAGCTCAGCACATGCTTCTTCCGTCCTGCTTCGCCAGCTGCCTGGGTGGAGTGGACTTCTCGGCCAAGTGAAGAACACCAAACTGCATCCTATGTACTCTTGGCGGGGCACACGGGCAGCCTGTGAAAGCCAACTCTTGATGATTGAAAATCCGCCATCTCCTGTAAGACATCGGTGGTCTCACCATCGTTTTCATGTCCTGAAGGTGACTAGCGACTAGGAACCCAGGCTCCAGATCCTAGCTGGATCCCAGCCACGTCCTAGTATTAGGATCAAAAACCAAAGCTCGACTGATCGACCAACCCGAGACTCATCGCCCGAACTGCCTGGCCAAGTCGGCAGCCTGCGCACCGAACTCAAAAATCAGCGCGGTGGTCAAGCGGTACTGCGGCACCTGCGATGAGATGCGATGAGTGGGTTCTGTTGGACTTCGGGAGCAATCACGAGGTCCGTAACCTTTGGTCTAATCTATGAGCAAGAATGTGCGCTCTCTGTCTTACATACTCACCAGAACCCCTCTGAGAGGTTTTACGCCTCAGCTGGGGGGGGCCATTGGTTTCATTGGATCACCCTGGTGGGGCACCCGGCAGCGATGAGTCTCGAATGACAGAACTTGACTGGCAGGTTGCCACAGTAGACGGACCACTTTGTCTGCTCTGAGTCACCCAATGTGCGTCAATATGCTGGCTGGCATGATGCCAATATGTTTCATAGAAACTGCATTCCATATTCAGGAAAAGCCATTCACAAACCCAAGGGCTTTTCACTCCCAGAACTCTTCTGAACAGGCCTTCTTCACGTTGTTGTCCACCACGGCAAAACGGCAAAAGGTCCGATACATCTGTCGGATCTCCTGGTACCAACCCGAACCCCCCATAAAAAGACCTTGAAGGAACCTATATAGTAGCGATGGCCTCCAACCTAATATTATCCGTGTCCTTGTGACTGAAGCCATCAGTCTGTCGGTAGACCAAAAGAAGCGAAATGAACTCGTTGAAGTCCAAAGTGCCTGGCGTAGCCATGCGTAGCCCAATTGATACCAGTATATACCAGTTACTGGTTTGCAGGAGTCAATGAACACCAATGGATACTCGTTGTAGGCAATGTTCAATGTTCCCGCCATGTTTGAGGGGTCACTGTTTCAGATCTAGCCAAACGCTCATGGGCCCTCATATGGAGGGGTCCGACCCTCATAATAATATGGAGGGGTCTGGGGTCTCAATTCCCTAGCGGTCGGGCTGCTTGGAGCGTTTTAGATCTACATGTTTCGTTTCGTTGGAGCACTGCTTCCCAGCGAGTCTGGGGTTCTTTCCGGCCATTCCCGACTCTCAGTCCAGGTCAACGCCCGGGAGGTACACTCCTGCTCACAACATGTCCCGCCCAAAGGCAGAAAGCTTCTGGCCCGCCCACTGGGAATGCTCTTTACACAAATACTCGAAATGCTTGGAACATGCATGGGTTCTGAAATCTTGTGCATCGGTCCCATGTAACGTACGTGGGGTGGCTCATCATCGAAACATCCGGCAGTTCTGGGCTCACAGGTTGGACTGCCGACCCATCTGACCCATCGGGTCCAACGGACAGCCCCGTTAAGTAGGTGAGAGAGGCCAGTTAACAGTCCATCCTCAGCCCTCAGCCAGCATGGATGGGTTAGACTGATGAGACATCAAATCGAATCATTCAGAGCATCCATCCATACTAATTATGCACTCCTTTGGCTGTCCTCCGGCTGCATCCAGCCTGAGGAGTCATCGTCCACCGCATCAATCAGCCTGCAACCACTTGTGTGACCCGAACAATCCTCGCCGTGCCCAGCGTGGACGGGGCCACATCTGCAATCCACTGTGGTTTGGGATCCCATCGGAAACGCATGCATGTACAAGTACCGTCCGAACGAAAGTCGGGCATGTACAAATGCACCATAATTTCTTTAGCAAAGCCATCAAGAACCGCTGGAACTGGATCCGTCACTGGTCGGCTCAACCACCCTAAACCCTATAATATGAGCGAACAAAACAACACATTCTGGTGTGGCAGTGGTCTGTGAATCCTGCTGGTAAACGCGGTATCGTACTTGGCTGGGGCACGCAAAGCTGTTCACAAGCTGAGCAACAACGCATGTGCACATTTGCACAGCCCGGACGAGTCGTGCCCTGGAGGCGTCCAAACCCTACCCGCTTGGGTGGGTAGCATAACCCAAACCAGGGAGAACAAAGGGCGTCCCTGGAGTCGTTGAACACGCTATGTTGAAGAGATACAGACCAGTAGATGGCAGAAACATGCACAAGACCGCGCAAACCATCTGATCCACCGAGCCGAAACCTAGTCGGACCATCATGGTAGTTTGAAGAGTTGACCGAAAAGGTTCAAAGGCGAACCCCCCACGCCTTTGCAAGGTGCCTTTGAAGGGTGAACATCCCATCGCCTGGCGCAGGGTTTGATCCTTTGGGTTGCGTTTGGAAAGGGGGGGGCGGGTCCCATCAAATGTGGAAGGCTTTGGATCCACCTACCATCACCTACCCAAAGTGAGTGAAAAATGTGGAAGATCTAAACTTAACCATTCAAAACCCCGAAAGCACCGGTTTGTCATCAGACCTCGGCAGCCTGGGTCGGACCTCGGGTCGACAACACTTCGACAGGCAAGTCAGCATCCGGGCGAAACACCCGGATGCTGGTGGACGACTGATCAATATGGGCCTCCAGTTGCTCTCATCAACCACTGACTAGCATCCCAAAGAACATGTTTTGGTCGAACAAAGTTGTTGCTTTGTGCAGTCAGGGGTGTGTGGCTGAGTGGAGTTCATGATCCTCAAGCAACTTCAGGCTTGGCTGACTCTCACCGGAAACATATTACATATGTCAGCATGTAAAATACCAATGTACAGTAAGTTGGCCGCGAAATGGTGTTTGTTTGGACTAGTTGGTGCATCTCAAGAGGAACAACAAACTGATAAAATGTAAACTAACCAAACTTGCATTACAATCATTCAGCAAATAATCAGCACAATCACCATGGCTGGCCGCTCTCACCCCTCTTCAACAATCTACTGTACAAAAAAGACCGGTGCTAAGAACAGGAACTTATGATATCTGAATCCTCCGAATGCTTTTCGGGCGTGACACATCTTCACGACAGCGCAACAGCATCATTCATATTCAATTCGTGCCATCCGGGGTCACGGCGCACCCACCCCCCATCCTCCACGGCCTTCAGAACCGCTTGCACCTCCCCAGTCGAAAGCTCGCCCGATTCGTCGGTGTCGAACTCATGGAAGGACTTCCTGCTCTTCGAACGACGCGGACATCCTGGGAACCGCTGGATTCCCAAAACGTCAACTGCAACTGATATGATTATATATAAATTATATTTCACCGTTTAAAGGAACATGCAACCGATATTTATTTATATATATACTTGAGGCCGAGGGTAGGTGACGAAAGCTAGCAGGGATGCATCCGTGTCAGTGGAGGCAAAGCATACAGCGCCGTCCAGTGACAAAGGGATGGTGGGACATCAAGCGGAGTGAGGCAATTGTTGTTTTCATAGGAATGGGGCTGTTGGAGGGATGGTTCACAAGGTCTCGCTCATGATCAAGAAACCTGATAAGTACCTATAAAAGTGGTATCTCCACTATGGGAGGGTTTATATACCAGGTATGTACCAGGTATATATCATTATTCTATGGGAGTGGTATGGGAGTGGTATAGGAAAAATCCTTATAGGAGTGGTATAGGGAATGTAAGTCAGTGGTATGGGGAAAATACTTATAGGAGTGGTATGGGGAATGTATGGGAGTGGTATGGGAGTGGCTGCCAGGATGCTTTGAGTTTGAGCAGATGCACCCACGTGCATAATTCTCCCATAACTTTATAGGAAAAATACATGTCTCCAACTCCTTGTACCTATACTGCTCCCATGCACAGGTACCAAGTTTGCAGGTACTTAACAATACGGTGGACATGAGGTTAAAACGTTGTGAACATGTAAGACACACGGACAGCAATGACACAGCCAACCTTAGCTTGTGAATCTGTTGAATCTGTTGCATCGTATCCCAAAACCTCCACGGAGGAGTTGAACCAAAGTGGAGGCGTCCCAGGGCGGAGTTGAACCCGCGCGGGGTGGGGGGGGCCCTCTACATGTGGAGTTTTCACGTGATGCGGCGATCTCGAGGATTCCAGCCCCTCACTTGCTAAAGCAAGGACAACTCCAGCTAGCTGATGCTAGCTTTCGTGATAAACCGGATAACATTGAATGACTGAAGCTGCTTTGGAAAATCTTAGACTTTGAGTGTGGTGAACAAATGCAAGTAAAGCGAAGTGCCCTGATTGTCCTACAGTGTTGATTTGGGGAGAACGCTGTCCCAGCAACACCGTCTCAGCGTCTCTCCAAACGCTGTCCGTCTTGCCCACGGCCCACATGTCTTCTCTTTTTCTTCTGCTGTCTATGGCAACCGTCACTGGGTCAAAAAGACTTGCTCAAAGACGTCTTCCTTCTCATCCTTCTCCATTTGGTCCGTTCGATCTTCCCTTCGACGCCTTGCCAAGGCATTGGAGCCCAAACTCAGCTCCACTTGCTTCAAGGCTCGTGCAGTCATCTGCGGCACGGCGATATGAGCATCGGTCTTAGCTTCGGGGGCGGATGATGCAGCCGAACGTCCAGGCTGCCCAGGACTGCTGGGTATGATGGTGGGATCTCGAAACATGGCCATTGAGCTGACCGTCATGGTATCAGTGTGGAAGCTGCAAGCGCTTTCTGACAGCTGCTCGTTATCCTTGGAGTCTGTCGTTCTGAGGAAGAACAGCCCAAGAATGCCCAACAACATGTGCTGGGACGGCTGGACATCATCTTCAATCATGTGGGTAGAAATTGACATCGCTATGAATACATTCAAGCAGGTTTTGACTATTGAAGGCAGGAGCAATGGACTTGCTGGACAATTTCTTTCTGGCACTTGCACCCTGTGAAAACAAACATCTATCGAAACAAAGAAATAAACAAATGAACCTGGAACCCTAACCTGTTCCAACTTGCTGTTCCGCAAGTTGGAATTGGTCAACTGGGATTGGCCAATATTAGGACCTCCCCACTCTGTTGGTTGGGGTTCCAGGGACTTTGTCTTCCAAGTCTACGACGGAGTCAAACTCTTCCGTGGGTGGGAGCACTCCCAAAAGCCGGACCACATCCTCGGTGTTGCAGCTGTCCAATATAGTTACTATTACAGTATACAACTAGTCAAACGGATCTATTAGGGTGCGCGTGTTTCACAGGATTCCACATGTACGGGGTCTCATATGCACAGTCCCTTTAGCTTCCTCTGAATTAGTGAATTCGAAATGAGTATAAACTCACGTGCGCCGCTTAGAGCCTAGATCCCCCCAAGTTCATGACCATCCAGGAATACAGAGTTGGACACCCATTTTTGTTGCATCTTTAAAGCAACATCCGTTATAAAGTTGACAAATATGAGAGGTAGGTGGTAATGGGCTTTCTGAGCGTCCTGCCAGCTTCGGCCCAAACTCTCATGGTATTGGTACAGCTGTCGGATGATGGCTGGCATGCGTGGGCCGGAGCTGCTGACAGTTCGGACACCTGACACAATCTGGAGCAACGTCCTCTTTTGAACTCCAAGAAATACACGTAAATTCGACCTGCATCGCCTGTGCATGATACCTCCAATGGTAGGGAGACTGCAAAAGCCCGCCTTGCAGCCAAACCTCCCAATATTTCAGTCTGGCTTCTTGCAAAAGCTCATTCCGCTCTTGTAGTTGGCTTTGATGATCCAGTTTCTCAGGATTTGTAGCTGGACGCATGTGGAAGGAGATCGTGCCTGCATTCGAAAGTCCTGTCTTTCTTCAAGGACCTAAGGACCTATGCATTTTTTCAAGGATAGCTCAAGACTTGTCTACTGTGAAAGGGTAGGTTACCAATTTGTTTTGGATCAGATCGACTAGTCTTGTGTTTGTGTTCTCGCTTTGGATGGGAGGATGATGGAGGATGTCTTTCCCTGGTCTTTTCATTGCATTTCATCACCATCGAGCGGTAATTGACGAGCTGTGATTCTTTGTGAAATAGGCCTATCAGGTCGAGCCAGGTTCCTATGAGGTTGTGAGTTATGAGCTTGAAGGCCCCTCATTCTCTGAACCATGGACGTCTCTCAGAGCCAAAAACAAGACATTGTAGGTGATAGCCTAAGCAACGTGGGTGGATTGGCTTACATTCAGTCAGGGATCAGTCTGCAGGGAAAAGATTGCGATCATCGTAATCAATGTGACCAAGCTTATGTTCATTGCTGACTGATCGGGTTTCATGCTACATGCACGAAGGCCAACACATGTACAGTAAGCTTCCCTTTGGAGGGGTGCATTTCATGACCACAAAAAAGAAGACAGAACAAACAGCCACCGCATGCCATCGCCATCCTGCGGTCCTGCGCAGTTACTCATTACAGGGCCTGGGCACTCTAGATTACAGTCTACACTTTTGTTTCACTCACCCTCTCGCTCTCGCGCTCTCTCTCTCTCTCTCTCTCTTTCTCTCTCTCTCTCTGTCTGTCTGGCTCAGTGCCACCTGGGGGACTGCATAACTGCACGTACACACATCCGAATCACTGTGAAAAGATCTGTCTTGATAAGTATTTGGCACTCAAAATCTGCGCCTGGATCAATCTGGAAACATATTTGGCATACACAGGACAGGTTCAATGCACGCTCCCACTTGCTATTTGGACAAGAACTCCTGTCTAGAAACGACAAAAACAACATTCAATCAAAACAAAACTAACCTACGCTAATATACATCCACGGAACGTTGTTGCTGTTCAATCTGCACATCCGTCTCATGAAAGCTGTTGGGCGACCGATGGCAAATGGCCAGCACCATGGCCGCATAATCGACAGAGATCACCTTCTGTCGAGCTGTGGCGGGCAGAATGGTGGCACAAACCTGCGCACGGTGGAAGCCGTGAAGGGAGCCAGTCTGGCGGCAGGGACATGAACGTACACCTAGAACATCCTACAAGTTCCGAGTCAAGCTATTCAAGTACAACAACAACTCAAAATGTTGTTCCCACCCCGCAAAACATTCGGTATCAGCCCCCTGATGCTTTAGAAAGGTTTGATCGTCGCACTTACATGGGCATGAGTCTGATGAGTTAAACATCCTTGGCCCCCCATTGCTCCAACCTCCAAGCATGTCAACCCTCAAGGAACTGCAAATGACGATCTCTTGCGCTGGGAACTACCTGAAAATGTGATAAGTGACAAGGACATCTCATCTGCACGTATCCGGAGTTTTATCAACTGATGCATGTCACTTGAACTTGAAAAGGCGCCAGGACGTGACTACCATGTGACTCATATGATTGTTAAAATCATGACGGGCTGTCCTGTCAAACAAGGTCAGATATCACAACATATCACAACTGCCACCCGACACAACGCTTTAGCTCGGCAACTCCCATGTCCTCCTGTGGGAGGGCACAGACCTTGTGGATGGTGTGTCTGGTGCCATCATGTCAAGTGTCTAATTTGCCAGTTGCGGCAGTCCAGAAGCTTCCTGAATGTTGCCAGAGTTGAAGTTTCTGTCACTGCTCAGGGTCTGACCATCTTGATTCACCTACTGCGAAACCTAAATTGGCATGGTACCTCTTGGGCACAAGCCTGGAATAGCATGGATTCCTGCGGCTCGCCATGCGCCGTGCCCAGCCACCCGGTACGGAGCGGCCGTGCCATGTGTCGCGACGGTACTCGCGACGGTTTTGTCGTTTCCTTCGCGCCTGCACCATGTGTCCATGTGTCACCAGCAAGCAGCTCTTCTTCGTGTGGCGCGCCCTTCGGAGGTAATCCACAAAACGGTTCGCATATCGTAGCCGGGCACGTTGCAGGGTCTCGGACCACTCAGGACCTTGGAGAAGTCAGTGCAACCAATTGTGCGAACCAGGCGAGCTCTAGCAGCTCTAGGTCTACAGTGTTGGTCTGGTCTTCGGATGATCTGTTGGTTATGCTGCATCGGGATTAGCTGGTTGTTCACAAAGACCTGTCGAAGGACATATCTGTATCATTCTGTATCATTTGAGCGGTTCAACCTCAGGTCTTCTTGTTGCTTTGTGACCCAAACCAGCCACACATGAGCTTCAGCCGTCTTGAACGGCCCCAGCTTCAACCCAGCCGATCCTGGTCGATCCCAGCACGGCCCAGTGGCGTTGTCCCATGAAGCGGCCGCCTTTCAAGCGTTTGGTGTCGAAGTTCAGCTTCAGTGTCGACACCACTCGAGGCCAAGGACGTGGAGGCCAAGGAGGCTCAGACTCAAACGCCTCGAAGTGGAGGCTTTTGATGGATAGTTTTTTGTGTGTCTTTGTTTTCACTTTTTTAGGGGGGGCGGGGTGGTAATTATGAGGTCAGCAAGCGGCAGGTACTAAGAGAGACATGAACCACTGCATGCTCTTTCAACGTGCATGGCACAACGCGGCACTATATAAGTATAAGAGGCAATCGATCTGCATTCCGTGGAATAAACGTTTATACAGTTTCTGAACTTAAAACGGTTGGCCCGTTTGGACTTTGTTTCTCATGTCGTGTTTTCACCGTTGGACGAGTTGCTGGACTTGCGGAGTCATGTTGGACGAAAAAAAAGCGGCCCCTCCATTCACAAACCACTGAAACTTAGAGCAAGTCCCCAAAACCTAAGAGTACTCATCATTCAGTATGTTGGAAGCTTTTCCGCATCATCTTCATGCCCTTGGGACCGGTGTCCAACTTCTCGTCGGGAGACCTCCGGTCCCATGACCTCTCCCAGCTCGTGATCCACCAAAACATCCGCATCGAACTGCTCCGCCAAGGTCATGGCCGTCTGCAAACAGCGCAGGAATGGAGAGCTGATCACCACCTGTAAAACAAAGGCCAGCGAAGGAAGACTAGGGAAACAAAGTGAGTGAGGATGAGAGAGGTGTCTCATGAGTTCTCATGCTTTAGGGATCATCTTCAAGTGTTTCTTGTGAAAGGAGATTCTGTATTGTTAAGAACTTCTCAGTCCAAGTGGACAAAACCAAACAAGACTAAAATGACTCTCGGGTCGAGAATTGGTAGAGGGATGTAGAGAGGATATTTGGAGAATTCCTGAACATCTCTGAACCACATCCTCCAAACAATTGAACCCTGAGACAATGACACCTCTGTGTCTAGGGCAGGGTGGAGTTATCAAACACAGAATTCGGGAAGTCCAGCAGTCTAAAGCCTCGGTCCAAACCCAATTTAGGGGCCCATGACCTTCACCTATAGATCGTTGACGCATTCGTTTGGAGACCTGGACCCTGGTCCATGTCCTTCATGTGGTTTTCAGACCGCCCAGGTGTGTCACATCTCCCACGACATCTCCCCCGCACCTTGAAGGACACGTGTTTCCTGCGCAGATCTCCGGCCAGCTTCTTGGCCTGCTGAAATCCCCTCTCTGTGATGGGTGGGTCGAAGGGAAAGGCTGCCGCGTCTTCAGAAGTACCTGAAACAAGCTCTTCAACGAATCCAATGCTTCTTTGTATCTTGAAAGGCGCACAGGCCATTTGGTTCACTGAAACACTGAGGTGCTTAATCCAGCACTGTACATAGCTCACAGTGCTTTCGCGTCTGTTGTCAACTAGTTGAAATACAAGTGCAAACAGCATGTGTGGTGGTGCCTACGTCGTTTGTTTTGGATAGCCAGGGGCACGCCCAAAAATTACCTAGCAAAAGGGACACTCTTGGATGATATATTATACATGAAAACCATCGGGTGGGGTTCCACTTTTGCAATCTTTTGCACTACCGGCAACTCAACTGAACAATACTACCACTTTTTTTTGTAAAAAACAATTGAACACAAATAACAAAAACAACAATAAAACAATGCTCCTTCCATCCCAGGTGCACCAATCATCAAAGGCCACCGAAGCATCCGCACGTTCGGCGTGGCGCACGACACACACAGACAAACGCTCCGGGTTCGAGACGCCTTCTTCCACCTCGTCCTCAATGCCCTGAATGACGGGCATCTCCACCTGTGCGCCACAGGAACTCAGCAGGCACCATGGTGTTTACACTTTTTGTGTGGTCGCCAGCTTTGGAGAATCAATGAATCAAGCAAAGCCCAAACAACAAACATGTTTCAAGGATAAGCCCCAAAAACGCACCACAGTTCACAAGGAATGGCGCACTTGGAGGCCCCAGCAACACTATACGGATTGTTTTATGTCTACATAGAAAAGTATGTTCTTCAACCTGAAGCATGAGGATGGCCGAATGATGGCTGCTTTGTTGTCGAGGGTGCATGACGCCCGACCCTTCCCGTCCTGACAAACATTCACTCCAAATAAAGTGTCTCACCCTCAATGAGCATCCTAGTCTATCAGCGACTGATTAGTTGTGAAGGCAAGCGCATCTCTCGAAGACTCTATAGTGCTTGGAGGCTTAGAGTAAGAATAACCCGAAAACCAACATATTTATCTCTTGCGGTCCATCACGTTTCCTCGTCCTCCATTCCTCAAGTAGTTGCATGTAGTTGCTCATTATGGGTCCAACCTCAAAACAATTCCATCTGGCCACGCTACAATGTCACAAACCTGACAAAACAACTGCTTTGGCATGCTTTGGCCATCTTTGCCCACTTTGCACCTGCTTCGACCAAGATCGACCCCTGTCATACAAAACACCATCTACCTACCGCTCTCCCGCTCGCTTCGTGCTCCCACCGACACGTTCACCAACGGACACAGGCGCTTCCGACGGCTGTGAATGAACAGCTCCCACCTCTTCCACAGCCGCTTCCTGTCGTAAGAGCATCTCCTGCGAGGCCGCGTTGTCCCAACTGCGGGCCATACCTCCGGACGAACGGCGAACACATGGTCTTTCTCGGAGGAAGTCGTCCATACGAACCGTCCGGTGGTTTTGGTGATGTCATATGGTAGGCATGATTCCAGTGGTTGCCAAGGAAACATGAACTGAGGGGGACTTTCTCCATCTTTGGCTGACACGATCACCTGCAGGACCTTAAAGTGCATAATTGTAGCAAGTCTGTGGATGGGCGATATGATCAAAACATCATTTTGTTTTAAGGAAAAGGCTATTAGTTCTCCTTCATTGTCTTGATTATTCGTTGCGCAGTGACTTGGTGTGTTCAGTTCACTTGATTGAAGAAACTGGAGGAGTGATTCAAACAGTGTAGAAGGACCGGGTAGGGAGTGCGGCGAGGATCATTATATGCTTTTTAGTGTCTTGTGTTCATGATCTGGTTCTGTTCTGTTTGGAGTGCAGGCAGGCCAGCTACTGTGTGAGTGGGCAAAAAGGCACAACTCGGCCAGAGCACATGGCACATGGCTTGAACATCTGCGAACAAGGTCTTCCAACGACATTCGTCTGGAAACAACCGGCCGCCTTCACGAATGGCCTTGATGCGTTTAAAGAAGTCGATGGAGTGGCTGGCCACCAAGATCCAAAGTATCGTACCAGAGACTAAAGGGTTGTCGAGGTGCAAGAAATCGATCCCCCACTTAGAGGGCCAAAATGCCTTGCTCTCTGCAGTGGCAATCCAGACGGCCACCATCAAGGAGCTACTGCTTAGTGCAAAAATGCCGCAAATGAAGGGAATGCAGCCCCCCTTGTATCAAAGCCTGGATTCCAAGCACACTTCCAAGCATTCCAAGTCCGGCAAAGGGCCTCAGGTGTGTGTAAGCAGTAGCTGCCACCGCTGATTCCGCCAAGCCAGGGATGATCATGTTTTCTGTCCTCAGCTGCCAGCGAGGGAAGAAACCTGGTGGTGTGTTTTGCACAACCACATCTCCAAAACGACCAAAAGAGTTCCGATTGACCCATGTTCCGTCGTTTCAAGAGTCAGAATCAGCAAAGACGGCAAGCAGCAAAACAAACCAAAAATCGCATCAGCCACTCCTCGGTGGAGTGAAGAAGCGCCCAGCTTGAAGTCAAGCTAATAGTTACTTTGCCGAGCCATCAAAAACCAAGCTCGATTCTATTAGGGGCTCACAGCTCAATAACCAGCGATCACAATGGAGACATGGGATAACCACAGTGATTCTACAGGCAATGTGATGCTGATAGTGGACGCACGCTGGTCAGAGATGAATCCACTTTAAGAGAGCCTTCAATCTCCAGCGGGGTGGAGGTACAGCCGGCTCGAAATTTGTAGCTTCTAAACGATCATTCGCAGAATGACAGCCAAACCTTTTTCATTAATTTAGCAAAATCAAAGCACACGTGTAAATACATACAGTAATATGTAGGATATAATATATATGTGACACAATATACAGTAGATCATATATTAGAGCAAACTGGCAATCTTTTTTTCACGCCAACGAGCCTTCTCATTCGTGGGATGGAATCGACCTAACTGGATGAACCAGATCAAGCCTGACGACCCACGTCCGGCCATTTGGACACCCAGCCGCTGAGAGGGCATCGAGGATGCAGCGAAGCTGTGCAAAAAAGCAGCATCAGCAGTGGAGCCAAAGTGTTGGCGATTGGCAATTGGTTTCTGAATAAGACTTTCGCTCCTCGCATCGCAAAGTTTTTGCAGAGTTCCGCCCTGGCCACCTCAACGGGGGACTGGGTGACGGATCAAATGCCACACGGCTTCAGCCTGGCTCTCTGGTACAAACCACTGGGCTGGGTGCTCCCTGTACCCTCACATTTTTCTTGCTGTAAATGGCTGAGGCTCCTACTAGTAGGTATCGGCCCACCGGCCGCATGTTATTGTTTGTTCGAGGTTTCATCTCCAAGGTTGGTGCCCTGATTTTAGGAAGTGATTTCCATTTTCCAATTGGTCTCCCCCGCAGCTAGACCTAGAAAGGATCTTTCAATCTTTTCCACCCAGCTAGGCCAGGACCTGTTCCTGGTTTTGTGGTGGGCTTGGTGGTTTTTTTGTGACCCTTGGCATGCAGCGCCGTGATTTCCTCCAAGTTGGGTCAGTATAGGATTATACAATTCTGAGTTGTGACATGTATGTTCATCTCAATTTATTATGTAGAAGGTGCATGGAGGCAAATCACGCACCAATGACATCATTTTATCGAATACTGTCAGTGCTTCATTCCATGCATTTTGTGGTCCATCTTTGGACATGACTCGCAAACTTCTGACCAGAATCGCTCAACGTGCTCATTTCCCGCCCAGGGACCAGGGCGTAGAACCAGATCAGCCAATTGGCAAGGCCCATCAACCTGGGATGTGACAACAATCCCGCAAAGGTCAACATCGGTAGCGGCCTCATCAAGGAAGGACCCTACCGTTGAGGGAAGGCATCATGGACCATCTATGTCCAAAACGTGGTGAAAACATTTCATGATATTCCATGATCTTCCCCCAAGTTGGTGCATGATGTTCTCCCATCAATTGCAGAGTTTTAATAAGAAGGGTGAGCCCATGTGCAAAGTCCAGCGGCCAACACCACTTCCTGCCACTTCGTCCGGCCACTGGGCTTTTCAAGGCTTCCTCACTTGCATGGTTGGAACCCGTGTCGAAAAGGACCCCGCTGGTGACGGCCTTGACGCGGGCAGTGAAATCCTGAGAGGGCCGCAATGGGCCACGGCCACGTTCAGAGGAGAACCCGTAAGGCCAGGAGCTACGTTCGTAGCGTCCTTGCTCCGTTCGTAGCGATGCCCTTTGTTACTAATAGCGATGCCAGGAGCTACTACAGTAGTAGCGCCCTTCCATGGGTCAGAACTTCTTGTGGTGCTGATGGAAACAACACCTAGGGTTTACAGAGGGTGCACTTCTAACGGACGGAAAGGAAGGCATCGACACAGAAAAACCGCCTCAAACGTCTCTGTCGCCCCAGTCGTCACCCAAAAAAGTTGGGCA